TTTCTACGTTAAAAATTTATTTTATATATATATATATATATATATATATATATTTATTTATTTTATTCTATGTATCTGTTACAGTTTAAACCCGAAATTCATCAATACTAGTTTTCACTAATCAATTTCGTCCAAACTGATATTGATTGACTAATTAATCAGGACTTCAATATTGTTAATATTTTTTAAATGCAATTTTGTAACAAAAGTAAATTAGAAATAATTTTAATTTTTATTGTTTGTTTGTTTTAAAAATGCGAACTATTGTGGTATTTAGTGTTACATAAAATATTTTTTTACATAAGGAGCGATTTATTTCACATGAATTTTGAAGCAAGATACTTAGTCATTACATAATAAGTTTAAGTTCGTAGTCATTGAACATGTAAAACGTAATGTATATTAGTTAAGATATTTATTTATTTATTTACTTTGACTCGTAAATTCGTAGCAATTATTATAGTGATACGCTAATATTTTTTGAACATACATATTGCGAACAGTGATGATAAATCATATTTTTTTAGTATAATATAATTAAAACTGCGATACCGACTTTACAATTGTTATTTTCATTTTTCAACGATGAAACTGAATATTTTAAAGTAGACTACTGATAGTTAATAATCATATTTATGTAGAGTGTGAAGTAAGCAATTGTTTTATTTTTATGATATATTCAATTAAATTCCAAAGCGAATTTGAGAAATTTGATTGGTATAAGTATGTTTTTGATGAGTTATTGATACTATAATAACACATAGAAAACGTAAAAAAATTATCAGCTTTAATCCTACTGTTGAAATGCTCTATAGTGCATAGGATTAGATCATCTATCGAAATCCATCACATTATTGAGTTATTGAGTTGCTGATTGTGATAAAAAATTATAATAATAATTAACACTTTCACATTGCTCAGGCAACAACAATAGTGTTCTCATAGCATGTTTTCAATAATGATTAATTCTCATAACAAATTTTAATTTCGCCGTGGTTTCTAAGGTAACCAAACAACTCCTTTGTGTGTAACACGTTTTCATGATAATTTTTCGTAACACATTTTGATAGTAAAGCTTCCGCGAATTTCGATTAGTCATAGCACTCAAGGTAATAGTTAGTGGTACCGAAAATAACCTTCTCAGACAGTTAAATATTGGTGTGTTTGGGGAAAAGATACGGATTAGTAGATATTTTATCGATTCGTAGTTATAAATAAATTATATGAATTGCAAATTTTAATAATTAATAAGGTTTATCAATAATTTCATGGAGAATTGAAATATTTCATCGCACTGGTATACGTGTTCAGTATCTGATATTATAATTTCGTTTTGCACGAAGATTTTTTTGACTTTGTAAAATAACCATCCTAATCGGTCACTAATCGATTATTTATTAACAGAAATTTATTTAATGATAATTTAGTATTTGTTTTTTTTCCTGGAATAAAAGTGTAGAATTTTTTGAATAAGATAACTCAAATAATTTTAAATTTGTTAATGGGTGTTACTACTCGTAAGTACGGTAATGTTATCAAAACAATAAAATTAAAAAAAAAAAAATCATTAAAATTAGTTTTATTATATATTATAGATCAGGGATCGCCAACCAGTCGATCGCAATCGATTGGTCGATCTTTTTAGGAATATAGGTCGATCGTTGTAAAATGTAATTTTATCACTATCGATCGATCGCTTAAAATAATCAGATTAATCGGATAATGGGAACATTAGATTATTATTATGAAAATACAATAAATAATTATTCTTTGGAGCTTAGACCTTTTTTTTTTTTTTACTCATCAAACAAATCTCTTCCTAAAGACCTAAATTCTCCTGGATATCGATCACCAGGGACTTAAATGTCAAATGTAGCTCATTTGTTTAAAAAGGTTGGTGACCCCTGTTATAGATATATGAAATATTTAATTTAGAATGTAAAAAAGTGCACTGCAAATAACAGGTGAGAGCTTAAAATAATTTAAGTTAATTTAAAATATCTCATTAGAATTTTTAGATATACTTGCCAGTCAGTTAAACTAAACTATATCCACCCAATACCACTCATTGCTATTTATAATATAAGAATAATATAAAATTATAAAAAATAATATAAAATTATTCTAAAAACATTTTAACGACTAATAATTGGGAAAAAATAAGTTGGAGTAAGCTGAGTTTATTAACATTTTTGTAGGATTCCGGAAAAATATATCATGGTAGAAAAACACTTAATTAATACCAAAATCACATATATTATACAAGTGAATATATATATTAAGTGACTGATTCTTAACACATTATTATTTACATGAATGATTTTTAAGTTACAGAACTTCCAAAATGATGCAGAGAATAATCATCGGCGAGAGAACATATAATTTCTAGTCTGAATAAAATATTGAAAGGATAGGTGAACCAACTGATAAATCGAGTCGAAGGAATTTGGAAATAGTGACGTATATAATTAAACGCCACTATTTGATTTAAAATTGTAAACAATTGTAAAATAACCACGCAAAGGATGTTTCGTCGAATGCGATTTTTCTTTTCCAACACCCAGTCGAGAACGAGTCCAAGGCCCTCGAACCGTTTAAAGAGGGCTCCTATACACACACGCTCACAAATGCAAACGATATAACTCTTATGTGTATATAAAATGAATGATATCATGTAAATTTATCTCGCCGACCGCGTGACACGAAATACACATTATAATATTAATCACGGTGCATACCATCTGACCGTTCCGCAGCGATTGCACGTCCGTCGGTTACATTATTTTTCCTCTTAATTGCCTGCACATTAGTCAAGTCCATCAGAGCGATACCACGACCGTAGTTACCGCAGCATTCATGTGGTGCGTGTGAATGTGGTAAATCCAAAAGTACTGCACTGACGTTGTACGTACACACAGAGTTACTCACATTTGAGGCTGTGTCGATTGATACGAACAGTGGTATAATAATTCATCGAGGATCTGCATCAAAGTTCGGACACTCTAAACGTAATACGGTGCGTGGATCACGCGCGTACAGGGGCGTATTTAGGGGGAGGGGGTAATATGGGTATTAAAATACCCCCCCCCCCCCCCCATTGACTGAATTTTATGTTATCACCAAATTGTTAACTTACTTACAGTATAATTTGCCCTATACGAGTACTGGTCTATTCAATTTTAAAACACCCCCGTTAAATTAATTCTGGATACGCCACTGCGCGCGTGTGATACGATCATACGCGCAAAACGGTTAGAGATTATATTATGCTGTAACATTTAATTAACGTATATACGTCTGTGACTCCGACGCCTTTCGTCCGCACGGTTACGTTATTACGTCGTGTCACATTTTGTCACATACTCCGGACGAGCGCACGGGGTTTTCGGCTTTCCAGACGCGCTGTCATTTCGTGCAGGCATTTGAATCGATTAACCTCGAGATCAGCCATCCCTGTAGCTGGGTCTAACCGGGGCCGTCTCTTATCCCGCGTAAACTTAGTTTACCGGCCAGCGTTATGATGTATATTATTAATGCTAAAGAAATACTTTTTACGCCAACGTAAATATAAACACGATTTCAGCACGTCTATAACGCAGCACAACGATTGGTTACAGAATAATCTATTCTACGATCAACGGTAAAACTATACACGCATCGGTATGGAATAATATAATTTTGTCGTGCTGCAGTAGATTTCGGAATTACAACTATGACTTCTCCGAGGTGGAAGTTTCTGCTAGACCGCAGTGCATTAATATTATATTGTGTATGCCATTTAAGTGTATTACAGTCGTCACTCGAAGCCTACAACTAGAATCTAATTTTAGGATCCCTTCAAACGCATTTTAATATTAAATTATGCTATATACATCCCCGATGTCTCGTATTATCGACGATTCCTCATTTTTTCATTCACTTCGGACCATCCAGTGATTCGAACATATAAATATCCAAACAACCTATCCTATAATTTGGTTCACTCCAATGGCCGCACGTATAGGTTTAAACAACTACCCGAACGTATAAAATCACGTAATAAAAATCAATCGCAAAGTTAGAACCAATCAATTCGTGTATCAGTTAAATGGGCAGCGTGGTCGGTATAGCAATATTAAAACCAGGTTAGAAACTTTTTTTATATGTTTTTCGCTAAAAATGCTTATGCTTATATATATTTCTAATATATATTTATTTCTTATTTTTAACCCATTTTCAGTAGATTTGAATCAATGTTCTGGATAAAACTAATTGTATTTCATTTAATTGGTTTTTTTAAATTTTTTTTATTAAAATTTATCTCGAAACTTTATTTCTAAAAAAGAGAATATGAAAATCAAATTTAGGAAATTATAAAAATTTTAATAAATTGTATATTATAATTGATATTGTTTTTTGGTATATATTCTATTTTTTTTTTTTTTTTTTTTTTTGTTGAAAAACGTAAAGAAATGTAAAATATTGAAGTGTGTATTAATGAATCCCATATGTATTTCAGCGTATTGAGTCCTGTAGGCGCTGACCATATGTAAATACGATGCAACACAGGTGTTCCATAACCTTTTTTATCTCACGCCTCTCATCCCGTGTAGATTTTCAAAAATCTCACCCGCCTCCCGCTAACAAATGACTATATTTTTTTTGCAAACAATTGATAGGACCTAAACATACGCCGGACTACAACGGCTGTATGGAAATTTGTCCGCATAATATATCGCGGGCTGGTCGATAATTATAACGTACTGTTATCGACGTGCGACATCTGTCCACAACAATAAAGATGGTAATTAGGTGATCTCGATTGTTTCTAATTTTATCGATAGCAAACGTGGCACGTTGTGTTTGAAAAAACGAAATTCTGTTCTAGTGATTCTAATCTAGTCCGTTCTAGTCTCACGCGCCGCAGTGTTCGAATTCCTACGGGACACACCGAGGTAGGAACAACAAGTCGACCCCAACCACTGGCAAACACCGTGTACGACGCGCGCGTCTATAAATACCTTGGGTCGGGTTGAACCTGCGCTTGAGATAGTTGAGGAAACGTCCGGCGATGGACAGGTTCCGGTGTCTTTGCGACCGTCTCCGGCCGTCCGCGTGGTGGTGCTGCTGGGACTGTTGTCGCAAAGAACCGCCGGGTCCCGTTCCGTCTCCGCTCCCGCAGCCGCCGTCCGCGCCACTGCCGCCACCGCCTCCTCCGCCGCCCGAGTGACCGTGCTGATGCTGGTGATGGTGGTGATGGTGGTGATGGTGCTGCTGGGACGTCTGTCCGTGCTGGTGCTGTTGCGTCTGCTGCCGGTTATCGCGACGCTCGCGGCCGTAGTTCTGGTGTGCTACCACGCTGTACATGATGGTTTCGCCGCCGTCACCGCCAGTCGAATCATTCGCTCATCGCCGGCCGTCTGCGAACACGTCGCGATCACGTGGAACGTGTTTCGATCGGCCGTCTGTCAAACGGTTACGGGCCAATGGTAGGGCAGAGGACGGCCTGAAAAACGGTTAATCCCTTTAAATCGGTAAAAACACATCATGCACGCAATAGCTTTAGCTAGTGGTCCGTAGAATTCTTAGAGTTATAGTAGGATGCGAGGCCTGACAGGTTGACGATCACTAACCGACACCGATTTTATATTTATATTTATCCTGCAGTAATATTTTTGGAATTTGTTAGTTAAAACCAAAAATGAAGTATATTATTATCACGCTTTAAGGGTCAGTAACAAAAAACGAAACAAAAATATTTAAATTTTTCATAAATTCAACTTGATAGTAAAATCCTCATTGGTACTTTTTTTTTAATAAGATAAATAATTAAGATTTTTTTAATAGAAAAGTGTAATATTTTACATTAAAACGTATTTTATACACTTTATTTCGTGTTAACGAAAATAAATTGGAACCGGATCCAAAACTTTAACTTAAACTAATTTAATTAAAATACTGAAACCCAAACCGGAACCCTTTAATTCGTCAAGGTTCCCGCCCCTGCTCCATCCGTCCGAAACAAAATTAAGTAAACTAGATTCTATATAACTCAATACAAGTTTGACGTTAGGGTTAATGTTAGAGGTCTCAAATTTGAACGTGAATTAGGTTCATGTATACTTAAATTTAAAAATCTGTGAATTTAATTCACGTGTAATTAATTAGTAAATCACGGATATTTACTTCACGTGTACTTAAAATAAAAACCAAAAATTACAAATTAAAAATATTTATGTCTAATATTCTAAAAATAAATTTTTTATAAACAGTATTATGGTTAAATTATGGGACGGGTTGATTAATGAGCATACTACGCACATGACAGCGACGTGAAAATTTCTAAAATTTCAGTACGAAGTTCGTACTACGAAACGATAATAATAAAATTTCAAATGTAATAAACTCATGATTTAATAACAAGATTTATGGACTCAAGTAAAGTTAAATTTACAGATTCACGTATAGTTAAATACATAAATTCTTGTGATTGCATGTGTGAATTTTAATTTTACGTGTATCCCTGAATTTAACTACACTTGAAATAGAGACCTCTAGTTTATGGCTGCACCCGAATTGGGTCTCGAATTTAAAATTACTACACTAGTTGGGTACCGAATTATTTTAGGTACTACACTAGTTGGATCCCGGATTTTTATAGTTACTACACTAGTTCTTGAATATTTTTTGGTAAGTACTATATTATATTAACAATACTAAAATTTCAGGTTATTTAGACCATACATATGATTGAAAAAGTTTTTGTAGTATTTTTTTGATTTTTTAGTTTTTTTTCATTCATTTTTATTTATACTATATAATGATTTTAACATTTTTAATATTTTACCAATACAATTCTAATAATTTATATTTCAATGGAAAGAAACTAAAAAACAAAAAAAAAAAACTATAAAATACATTTTTAACTATATTTGTGGTCTAAATAGATCATATACAGTCCTAAGTCTGTTAAAATAGGAAGGAAAATGTTAATATGATGTAGTAATTACCAAAAAATATTCAGGAATTAGTGTAGTATTTATAAAAATCTGGGACCCAACTAGTACATTACCTGCGATTAACCTCTAGTACTCAGGACCCAACTTGGATGCTCCGTAGTTTATATCTAATAACGTTCTCAATAAATAAACCTGCTGCCTGTACAACGGACAATATTCAATTTGGGAAAATATTTCAATCATTGGTGTAATCTTTCACGTCGAACTCAAATATTTGGATTTTAAAATGTCTTTAGTGTGCCCTCGTAATATGATGTCGTGTTTTATAATATTATTTACTATCTAGTTTATTATTATCGGTTACAGCGCATGCATCTATAAACTAAAGCAAATTAATAAATACATGGGTATGATTTTCAGTTTTTTATCTATAATATAATTTTGTACCTACTTGAACCTTCATTTTCATTACAAGGTGCGAAAATAAGTTACGTTTTAATACGAATTAGTCAAGAACACGATGAAAAATCTAATTATAAACTAACTACTATAAGCTTTATAAATTTAATCATATTTATATATTTCTTTTTCGTTTGTGAAAATTGTCGAAACAAATTATAACTTTTAATTCAATACTCATTATTTCTACTATTTGTTTATTGAATACATTTTATGTACATAAATTATTTATATAAATAGTTAGAATACTGATTTTCATGTTGGTACATTTAATTTGAATGTTCTCTTATTTATAATTCAGTAGAACCTACATGGAACCAATAATAAAAATTGTATTTATCAAAATATGAATAAAATGACGTACAAGCATCAAACATCACAAATTTAATCAAATAATAATATATAGATAATTTTCATTTTACATATTGTCATATAATTTCGTTACAAAGTTTTAAAAAAGAGTAGTATCTACACAAATTAACTGGGTGAAAATATGTATATAAGTATGAATGAAAAAATTACTTATTTGTTGAGGAAATTGAACATCTTGAAGCTCAAAAGGGGGATAGACCCACCCCATAAATACTCCACCAAAAAAATAATTTAGTATATTCCCATAAACAGATAAAATTATATTGTAATTTTATTGGAATACGATTTAAATAGTAAAACATTATAGATTTTAGTATTATGCAAACAAATATATAAATAAATAAATTGTTAATATTTTTTAATTTGATCTTCAATAAATATCTGTTTGATTAATTGTAAATTTTATTTTTTCCTGTAGAAATAAATAATCATTTTATTTTAATAATAACTATATTTTAATTTAGAATTAATTATAGTATCAGCATTACTAATCGATCGTATATTGTAGCAAAAAGAAAACCAACGGATCAAGAGCTTAAAAGTTAAATATATCAAATTACTTAAGATAAATTATGATAATTTCGTATTATGAATTAATTATATTTTCACAGAAAATATTTATTATTGTATATATATATATCTTATGTAATGACATAAAAGTAATAATTTCTATTAATTATCATAAACATAGGCTAGCACATAAAATAACAAATACGATATGATTACCAATGAACGTCCTACGTAGTATTAGTAAATACTGAACATTATCAAAATAATACATTTAACTGAAGGTGAAGACCTAATAAATTATTTAGTATTATTTATAACAATTTAAAAGATGCATATTATTTTCTATACAAAAAAAAACGTATTTATAGATTTTTTTTTTTTGTTAATTCACATACCCAACAGTGTAATTTCAACAGTTTATTTATTATTCATTATGTGAATTTTATTTTAAAATGCATGCAATAGAATACTCGTTACAATATTAATTGATAGATTATTTGCAGCGGTTTTTTGTTTTTGTATTTTTCAGATTAAAATAAAATTTATTATTACTTAAGCATTTCCGATGTTATTCAATTATGAAATGAGGCTATTGCGATTATCTCATAAAACGTGCATTTTTATGAAACTGTACAAGTAGTATTTGTTCATGCGAAAAAAAATTATTTATTTTTTTTATTTTTAATGTATAATTTAGAAATGATGAAAGTTGTGTGCTTATAAATAGGGTAGATGAATTAGAGTAAAATTTGATAAAAAGCGCATAAAAACAACTATAGAATACATTACATTTTCCGTGGGATGCTTAAAAGTTCATGCAAAAATACTAATTAAAAATGAATTTATTATGTTTTACTCAAAACTAAAGCAGTATAATATATACTCATTCAAATAAAAATAAATCATATTTTGCTTATATAGTATTAACTATTGAAATTTGGAATCAAAAAAAAAATTTTATCTTTGTAGATAGACTTAATAAAAAGTCTATGTATGTGTGCACTTTTATATATTCGTAATTAATTAAACAATTAACATCTAAAACATCGCAAAAAATTAGTGCTTTGAAAATACTGTTAATTTTTCGACCAACTGAAGCATGTTATCATATACATAAATTAATACGAAACGCTCTTAATTGTTTCGAATAATTATTTTAATAAAAGAAAAAATTCACTATTATAAAACCAATAGCTGCGACATAAATGTAAAGTTTTATTTTAAAATTACATTATCCAGCCCTCTTTGATAATAACTGTTCAGGTAGCAAAATAATAGAATTAATATTTTATGGTTACCAAAAACATCATCATTCTCATTTGTAAAATAAATAAATATAAAATATTCATTGATGCGGAAACTTATTAAAATGCCTATTAAATTATAAATAATAAAGTAATAAAAACGCCAAAGTCTACGATAACAATTTGACGAAATTGTCGCAACGTGGTTTTACCAAAAAAACTGATTTATATTGCGGTGCGTTGGTGACTTCAACAGCTTAGAAACAACTAATACAGTGGACGTCACATATAAGACTCGCTTTGAGACCAACATAAAGTTAGTTTTATAACTGAATGAATCTTATAGTCGAAGTGGTAAAAAAAAAAAAAAATTGAAATGATTATTAATTATATTTTGTTCTTCTGCTTTTACTACGTATTAAATAATACATAATATGTATTAAAAAATAAATATATTTTTATTTATTAAAAAAAAAAAAATGTAATTTTAATTTTGTTTTTTTACTGTTTTCAACTTTTTCGGAAATACTATTTGTACTGGTATTGGATATTTAAAACGAATACATCGGTGATTAATAGCTCTGCTCCACAGTTCTAGAGCGTTTTTGTTTGATGGCAGTTCAACCAGTAGTTTAACTCAGTGCTTCCCAAACTTTTTCGACTCAAAGCACCCTTTTTGATCCAAGGTATTTTCATGGCGCCCTTCTCTAAGTCATAGCATGACTAATCATAAGAAAAATGTTAGACCCGATATTATTTCACGACGGCGCGGTGCCCTTAAACATAGATCGCGGCGCACACTTTGGAAACCTATGGTTTAACTTTCTCGTCGCTTTCGTCATTCTCAAACGCGATACAATTTGTTGTCCGTACAAAGCTTGCAACATAATTCAAAACCACCAGGGTGAGTAATAATCAACAAAAAAAGTTTATTTTCTACGGTTTTTTTTTTTTTTTTTTTT